CACCCTTTTATAGGATGAGTTTCGATGAATGCTAAAACACGTATTTATTTAATTTTATTGAAAAGCATTAATATCGTGTCAATTAATTCTGATCATAAATATTTTTTTTATTGTATTATAACGAGTTTTCCCGTGGGAATTAGAAAATCTCCCGCGGTAAAAAGTAGCCTATGTCACTCTCCAGTCCTCCTACTATCCGCACACAAAAAATCATATATATATATACTACTTAACTAAGGACAATTTCTGCTGTACTAAACTGGACTAGGACCACTAAGGCACGCAGCGGAACTCCTTAATTCTTTGAATGTGTTGATTGCATTATGATAAGTCGTTAAGGCTTATTAATTGGCGTCAGTCACAAGAAATTTGGAGAATTTATTTAGATACTAGCTTAGATTATGTGATTCTTTAAATTGACTTAACTTTTCTATTTATGAACCGATTGAAATAAAACAAATACAAAATATTAAGTGAAGCTTACCACAGTACATTATTGAAAACCGCACCCAAATCGGTTAAGCCGTTCTGAGATTAGCGCGCACAAACGCACAGACAAACAGATAAAAAATTAAAAATCATGGTTTTGGGTCTTATCTATATATTTATACAGATAAATAAAATTGAAGTGTCTGTTTGTATTGTCAAAAAAACAGCGTTTTACTAAATGCATATGAAATTATATACGGTACTTATAAGAACTTAAGAAATATGGTACTTTTTGTCTGTCTGTCTGTTTGTTCCGGATAATCTTTGAAACGGCTGAACTGATTTTGACGGGGCTTTTGCTTTTATTTTAGAAAAAGAATTAGGATTCCGCTCAAATTAAAACGTACGTTGCATTAATAAAGAACTCCAATAATAGTTTTTCTCTAATATCTTTCATGTATAGACAGCGATCAGTAACTTTTATTATACGTATGAATGAACAAAAAGCTTTAGGTACTTTGATTATAAATAAAATATTACTTCTCTTTTTGTGAAGGGCTATAAATCTAATTTTAATAGATTTTCATTGCCTTGCGTCAGCTGTCGTCACCGACTCCAAAAATATCTTGTTAGACATCTATTGTAAATGAAATATCTCATTCAGTTAGTTTGTATTTTTTAATACAGTGAGCTTCTTAAGTGTATTGTTTAATTTGTGGAAACTTCATTGGTTTATGTGTCATCTATTATTATTAATTATTTATGTAATATCGTACTGTTTGTTTCGCTAAAATAAATAAATAAAAAAAAATAAAAAAAATAAAAAATACAGTGATGTCCGTTAATATTTTTGTTTATTGAATTCAGCCTTTTTTGAATCCCACTGCTGTGCACATGCCTGCCTTTACTGCAAGGGAGATTTGGCCATAGTCCACCACGCTGACCAAATGAGGGTTGTCTGACTAATTTTTCTTATTTAGCATTATGAATTAATTATATAATCTTTGATACCCCATACAAACTTTCATCCCCATTTTCACCCCCTTAAGGGATGATTTCCTGGATAAAAAGTATCCTATGTCCTTCTCAGGGTCTCAAACTATCTTCTTACCATATTTCATCTTAATCGGTTCAATAGATCCAGAGACCCCCTATAAAGTCACAAAGTCACAAACTTTACCTCTTTATAATATTACTATAGATAACCTCAACTTAAATTTACTTGAAATATCAAGTAGGTGATTTTACTTGAAACATCAAGTAGGTATGTCGAAATAGTAAAATAGTTTATTTGTCGTGAAAAGCTTTGTGCTACGTGCCTTGATACTTGCACAAATAATGGCATTCGGGTCTATTTAGAATACTAAAAAGGTACGTGTATAGAGTAGCTTATTTGTATTTTAAACATTTGTACAACTAGAAGAAAGTCTACGAATAGAAATTGCGTTTCGAAAGAATCTGAAGAAGAAATAAACAATCTGACTGTTCGAAGTATTTTAAAATATGTATTTTTTATATGAAATTTGTAATATAAAATAGCTCATACAAAAGTCCGTTTTTTTTAAAGAATATCAGCCTTAGTTGTTTTAGTTCCCATTAATCTATGGCTGAAGTTAGACGATATAATTTATTATTAAAATTATCTAATACTAGCATTGCCCGCGGCTCCGCCCGCGTTCTGATGACATAAAAACCAAATTCTTAGGTTTTACATATTAGAATACTCTTACATTGCAGTTTTTGTATTTTTTCTCAGAAATGAGACATTTTCCCGCGGTAAAAAGTATTCTATATTTTGACCCGGATAACCAGCTATCTCCATACTAAATTTCATCAAAATCCCTTCAGTGGTTTTTCTGTGATGCGGTAACAGACAGACAAAAATTCTACAAATTATAGATTCGGCCTCTGTATCGATAATAATGTTTATTTCAATAAGATTTCCCAAAAAATATTTAATGTACAGATTCGGCTTAGTTACAGTTTTATTATATGTATAGTTTGAAGAAAGTACCTACGTTAAATTATTCTTAGAACTAGGTTGAGCTAAAAGAAGACCCTGAATTTTACTACTGGAAGAAAACTTTATATGTATCTATTAAAATAACGAGCTTGTTACGTCCAAGGAAAGTTCTAAGAAGTTACGAGTGTTTATAATTTTAGTATACATGCATTGGCATTATCAACTAACATCAACAGCCTTCGTCTGACGAATAACAAGTGTCATCGACTGGGCCTTCGCCGTGGCCTTTCTGCACATTTAATTAGCTGTAGACGGTACTCCATACTCGTAGAGCTCTTATAGAGCTAAAAATAAATATTGATATACAGAGTGTGCGCAGACGGCGTGTCGGTGATGGTCATGGGTGCCGACACCATGACTAATGAATACATGACTCTAACAAATAACAATGCTTTCAATTGCTAAACAATTTGTCACGAATAAAATGGAATTTCTAATGACCTTCAACGATACTATTTTAGTACATACTAGCATTGCCCGTGGTTCCGCCCGCGTTCAGGTGGCCAAAAACCAAATTCTTAGGTTTTACCGGTTAGTATACTCTTACAATGCAGTTTTTGTATTTTTTCTCAGAAATGAGATATTTTCCCGCGGTAAAAAATATCCTATATGTTGACCCGGATAACCAGCTATCGTCATACCAAATTTAATCAAAATCTGTCCAGTGGTTTTCTCGTGAAGCGGTAACAGACAGACAGACAGACAAAAATTCTAAAAACTATAGATTCGGACTCTGTATCGATACTAATGTCTATTTCAATTAGATTCTCCAAAAAATATTTAATGTACAGATTCGAATTAGTTACAATTTTATTATATGTATAGATTACTATTAAAGTAAGTTTCTCAAAAACATTATTTTTAAAACTAAATATTAGAGTTTTTTTTAATCCATATTTGATTTATCACGTTTCATAAAAATATTTATTTTATCTATAATCGTACGATTTTATCGCACATCTGTAAACAAAGCAGTATTGGTCGCGTCGTTGTTTTCTTATCATTTGCTGATATTTCTTTATATTAGATATAAAATTCTCAGATATAAACACATAGGTGATTGTCAAACTTAGCAGGTAAGTCTGGTCATACGTATATCTAAAACTATATATGTAAGATATCTCAGGAAAAGCCAGTAGTCAGTACGGCCAGTATAATAAATTAATAACTATTTTATTATACACTAGCATTGCCCGCGGCCCCGCTCGCGTTAAGATGATCAAAAACCAAATTCCTAGGTTTTGCATACTAGTAAGCTTGTACATTGCAGTTTTTGTATTTTTTTTTCAGAAATGAGATATTTTACCGCGGTAAAAAGTATTCTATATGTTGACCCGGATAACCAGCTACCAACATACCAAATTTCATCAAAATCCCTCCAGTGGTTTTTCTGTGATGCGGTAACAGACAGACAGACAAAAAATATAAAAACTATAGATTCGGCCTCTGTATCGACAATAATGTTTATTTCAATAAAATTTTCCAAAAAAATATCTAATGTACAGATACGGCTTGATTACAATTTTATTATATATAGACATACCTAGATTAAAATAGCGAAGCCTTACAATATGGAAAACACATGCTTAGCCATCCTGTAAAAGACACCTTCTTATTACCACTTAAATCAATTTTTGAATGAAAGGTATAAATAATGTAAAAATATGATTTGCTTCATAGTAAATAACTATGAACTTACTAAACGTGCAAAACATTTAGATAAAGTTGCCTGTGTATGTGAATGAATGTCGCAAGTCTCAATGCGGGCCTCCGTGGGAACGCTTAATGCCTCACAGTGTTATACGGCATGTATAGGGGTCATGTAGCAAAGTGCTGTTGTTCATTTTGAAATTATTCTACATTTGATATAAAATATACTTATTAATCTTGACGACACGTTTGGCTCAGTTTGTAGTGACCCTATTTTCTGTGCCAGCGGTCGCGGGTTCGAGTCCCGCTGGGGGCATTCATTTGTGTGATGAGCATGAATGTTTGTACTTCAGTCATGGGTGTTTATATTTATAATATGTATGTATCTAAAGCTATATATGTGTAGTGTATCAACTATCTGGTATCCATAACACAAGCCTCGTAGCTTACCGTGGAACTAGATGGTGTTATGTGTTAATGTCCCTACATATTTATTTATCATATTTATTTAATCTATAATACCAGATCATTTGTATTCAATTAGTTGACCGTATTTGTAAGACATTATATGATATATCTATATTTAATGTATTCTTATATCTGCAAACTTTAAACTGTCGAGACTATGTGCTCACTTTACCTATAGCAACCTGGTTTCTTTGTGAAAATAATACGAATAGCTTGAGAATAGGCGAATAGGAACAATAGAAATAAGCTCCCTTGAGATTGTGACCCGTGGCCTGAGGGCTGCCGTACAATGAACGCTTTATTCGTACAATGCCACTGCATCGAAATGATTACTTGGCACCGACCCATCCGTCTGTCTACTTTAAGTATATTATAATTTTTCATTCAATTTTTTTGGCTTGTTTCAGATAATGTGACTTCGAAAATAGACATGGAAGGAGAAAGTATAACTAAATTCGTCGCTGAAGTTGCTGAAGTTCAAGACTCACCGCCTTTTATATCGAACGTAGTTCCTAATGGAGAAGAGTTAGAAATTAAATTAAATGATACAAGTGATAATTCAATAGTAACAGTTAAAGAAGAAAGTGGTATTAGTTTTGAGAATTTAGCAGATTGTAAAATTGAAAGTGTAGATTATAAAGAGTCTTTTGCTGTTAACGGTTCCTGCGAGGCAATTGATGATGCAAGATCGTTGGGTGATCTCGACAGCTTACCAGCGGGTGATGAGCTAGCGCTGGGTGCTGCTGGTAGTGACAGTGGTGTGGAGGGATGCGGCCGTGCTCTCAGTAGCGAAGGTGGATCCCGTTCTTGTGCTTCTAGTGTTGTGTCGTGTGGTTCAGGTTGCGGGTCCGAAAGCTCCTCATTAGCTGGAGCACCCCCTCGTCCGCGCCGTCGAGTTAACGTTACCGTGGCTGAACCAAAAAGAAGTTCACCCATCGGGACATCAACACCACGCCCTGTAACAGCACCTCGTGGACCAAACCTTGCCACACGTGAGCGAGCGAGAAGTAGAGAAAAACCAACACCACCAGAAAAACCTCGACCGCTTACTCCGAAACCACGTATACGACCAACTACAGATCTTCCAAACTTAGTTAGGGAAAGCCCAGCTTTACGTGCCAAACCTACGAAAACTTCCACTGCAAGATGCAGAACACCAAATTCACCAGTTGACGAGAAAAAATGGCCTACGAATGGACAAAGACTGTCGAACGCTACTGACACATCTGCAACTCGGGTAGCCGCAGATAAATATGGCACTTTACCCCGAAGACGCCGAGAAATGGATCCGGAATCTTCACCGAAACATGAAAGCACACCACCGTCTTCCAGAAGGCCCACCGTAGCGCGCTCGGTTTCTTCTCGATCAGCAACTAAGACTCGCGTGAGAATATATGCTGAAAAGATTTCACAGACTGTATTACTTGGAACTGATATAGAATCAGCACTTGCAGGAATAATGCCAAATATAGAAAGGTAACATGATAAAAAATTTTGCAAATTATAAGCTATATAAACATACATACATACATACATACATAAATACTTTATTGCACACACAATAGAAGAGTACAGAAGATGAAAAGAGAAAAAAAATAACAAAGAGGCATGCAAAGGCGGTCTTATTGCTACGAGCAATCTCTTACAGACAACCTTTATACAGCTATATAAACATAGCTTAGAAAAACAATAATTCACAAAAGATAATAAAATTAAAAAGGTTTTTTATGACAAATAATTCTTTATTTTCAGTCGTGTGGACGTATCGCGATGCCATCGTGGAGTTCAAGCTAGCGCCCGCGATACTGAGACAGCGCGGTTGGTCGCCGCAGCGGCTGCAGCTGAAGCGGCGGCAGCGGAGGAGCGAGAGAGAAGGTTGCACGTTGAAGCGCAGCTAGCTGCTGAGCGCGCTGCGAGGCTCGCGGCTATATCAGAGTTAGAGAGGAACTCGCAACGTCTTCTTGAACTTGCTGGCGCTGGTGAGTGCTCATTAAAACGATAAAATTTGAATTCTAAAGCATTTTCTTTTTCTTTTGAATCATATTTTCTTATAATTTATTTATAAATCTGGGAAAAACTCCTAAAAGATGGATTTATTTAAAATTTCATATTTACTTTTGGTTAAATTATTCTATTTTTCCGATTCTCAACTTATTAATTTATCAGTAATTACGAAATTATATTTTGTTATACTAGTTTATCAATTTTATTAACAAATTAAATATCAACTTTTTTTACCTATAACTACACCGTATAAATAAGGCTTAGTTATAGTCTATTTTTATTCATTGATATAAATATAAAAAATAATCATGTTTAAGGCGCCGGCTCAAATGCGGACGGTTGTTTGCGAGCTCTAGAAGAACAATTACGGTCTGCCGGGGAGCTCGCCACGAGACAGCGCGGCGAGATTGACGCGTTACGGGACCACTGTAACAAACTACACGCGGTCAGTTCTATTTTTGACTTACCTGGTGAATGTAACTGGTTTATTAAGATATTATAGGGTCTTATGTTTATGGTTCTTTTAAATTATTCGATATGATTAGATCATACTCGATGTAAGATGAAGACGTTCAAAGCAATATTTAAACATTTATTCTCGGCATTTGTTATAAACAATAAGTAAATTACGTTACTAATATAAATTCGAAAGTTTCGAAAAGAAAAAATATAAACTCGAATAGCTTGAAAATTAGTACACATAGGATATTTATTTTATATTATGTATGTATATAATATTATAAACTAGCGACTCACCCTCGCTTCGCTCTGGTTCGTCCTTAGGTATGCACGTTTTGACGCTTAGTAATCTATTCTAGAAAAAAAAAAATTTAGCGTGAATTTTTCCGATGTTTTAATAGTTATTTTGCTATTCGGGGCGAAGACAAATCCAACAAAACAAAGAGTTCTCGAGTTAAAAGTGTTGTAATAAATAATATATATATATATATATATATATATATATATATATATATATTACAAAGTCGTAGACACCTAGAGAGCAGCCGAACAAAACGAGGGTAAGTGTTCAGTGTCACATATTTTGTCCCACGCTTTATTTTATAATCTTCGTATAACATTTGTTAATTCTACGTGACATTGACGAAGTAATCTGTGCTCTACTCGCACATTTTGAAGCCATTAACAAGAAAATTAAATTTATTTGAACATTTGTTAAGTTTAACATGTAATGGTAATAATCGTATGTATTTATTATTTTATACGTATTTCACTTAATACTTATGTAATATTATTTACTAGCGACTCATCCTCGCTTGCTTGGGTTCTTCTCTAGGTACGTGTTAATAGTTAGTATGGGTATACTACGGGAACAGTATATTTTCCGGGATACAAAGTAACGTATGTGCTATTCCAGACTATAATCTATCTCTGTACCAAATTTCATCCGGACCCGTTCAGCCGTTCTGGCGTGAAAGAGTAAAAAACATCCAATCTTCCAATCCAATAATCCAAAGTTTTGCATTTATAATAAATATTAACTAGCGGATCATCCTAGCTTCGCTCGTGTTCGCCTCAAGGGATACAAAAACTAACCTATCCCACGGGAACCGTACATTTTTCCGGGATAAATATGAATGAAATGTGTAGCGACAGAATAAAAAGAAAAATATAAAAATATTTATCAGACTCTTAAGTGTTTTTTCAAGTTCAGTTATACATTTTTTTAAATTATATCCAAATATGTCAAGATGCTTGTAGTAATTATTATAAATGTTGCAGACTCTAGTAAAGAAAAATTCTTGGCATATTTGGTTCTACGAGAGGGAACAGAGAAGGTATCTCTGGATCGGCTGTTAGTTCGAGGGCATTTAAAGAAACTATTAGACAAAACATAATTACAATCGATATGATTATTAATAATTTTGTAAAGAAGAGTTTGATCTCTTACTCTTCTTTTTTCCGAAACACACAAGTTTAGGTTATTACACTCAATATCTTCAAATTTGAAATGTAACTAAGGTAATGTACTGTAAAGGGATTATAATATTAATGGGATTATGGGATTCAGGAGGCATGCAACGGGCGGGAGAGGGCGCGCGTGCTGGAGGCGCGGCTGGCGGAGGCGGAGCGCGAGGCGGCTGAGATGCAGGACTTCCTCGCGGCGGAGACAGGCGCGCTCGGCGACTCGCTGCGCGACGCGGAGGCGGAGGTCGCGCGGCTTAGTGCCGACTTGGAACGCAGGTGAGGGCTAGTTTTTGCTTATTTCTATCCCTATCACTAAGACTCGCGCTGTCCGTTCGTCTGTCACCAGACTGTATATCATGAACCGTGATAGTTGTAATTTTTCAGATGATGTATAACTGTTGCTGCTATAACAACAAATACTAAAAAATAAAATAAATAATTAAGGGGGCTCCCATACAACAAACGTTTTTACTCGATATTGATAACGGCAACATGTAGACACTTAAATATTTACAGAATATTAAATAATTAAATTAAAATAAAACAAATATTTAAGGGGGATCCCATACAAAAATTTGATTTATAAATAGTTAAATTAAGATAAAACAAATATTTAAGAGGGCTCCCATACAACAAACGTCATTTTTATACCGTTTTTATAGATAATGGTACGGAACCCTTCGTGCGCGAGTCCGACTCGCACTTGGCCGGTTTATTTTTTATTTTTAACATTTATATTTATACTAGGGACGTTCCTAGATGCCTAACAGTAAATTTACTCCATGTTACGTCTATCTGCTTACTACTAAAGTTCATCCCAATGCATCCAGACGTTTTCGCTCAGCAGCTGTTAAAACTGACCTTCTAAGTAACCTGCTAGGTCTGTTCTTTACAGTATTCATATTTATTCAAGACTAAATCTATTTTAATGAAACAAAAAAAACTATCATAATTTGTTAATGTAAATACGTGCATCAGCTATAAATAACAAATACGAGCATTTTCATACACGCGGGAATCGAACTCGCGTAATCGAGAGTATTAAATAATCGATAATACTACTTTCATCATACGACATTCGCCACGAAGTTTAAATGTAGCTTGATTTTTTATTAATTACGTAAACAGTAATTATTAATGATCGTAAGATTATTCATATTAGAAGTATTTTTTAATCGGAAACGAGATGCAAAACTTGTTTGTCAAGGCAATTGTAGCTTTTAACGAGTCTGTATCAAGTGTGTTGGTATTGACATTGAAAACGGGCGCTAGGAATTACATATATGATATTATTTTGAAAATAATTTTATATATTTAACCATGAATATAATGTTTTTTGTGGCCTTACATTATCGAAATTTAAATATAAATTTTTAAGTTTCGGTTTTATAGTTTTCAATTGAATATGAATATTTATATACTAAGACATTTTTGAACTAAAATATAACACAGACTTTATTATATGTATAAATCGGCATCAGCTCGCATAATATATGTGTCAATAAAAATTATGCCTATGATTTCTCATAAAAGTCCGGCTGAGACGTACTAATATAGGTGGTGGGTTGCTCCTGGTACTTCTCTGATAGCAAATACCCATCTTCATTCTAAATTTCGCTTGAATACACATTATTCTCATTTCACCTTCATTTTTGAGGTTCGTACCTGAAGGGTGTCAACGGGACCCTATTACTAAGTCTACAATGTCCGTCCGTCTGTCTGTCAGCGGGTTGTATCTCATGAACGGTAATAGGGAGAGACTTGATATTTTCAGAGTGTGTATTTCTATTGCCGCTATAACAACAAATAATAATAAACCAAGATTGCGAATTTCCAAATGGTTGCCATGTAAATTAAAAAAAATCCATTAGTACATAGTTTTATATGTATGTTTTACGATGGTACGGAACCCTTCGTGAGCGAGTCAGACTCGCGCTTGTCCGGTTTTTTTTTATTCCTCAAGTATTTTTTTTTGGTTCCGATATAATTTATGAGTATAATGAAGTCTTATTTGTATGTACCAGGCGAGCAGAGTGCCGGCAGCTGGTGCGCATGTGCGAGCAGCGCCGCCAGGAGGCGCTGGCGGCGGGCGCGCGGGCGCGCAACGGCGCGGGCGCGGTGGCGGCGCTCGACGCACTCTCGCGCCGGCTGCGCGCGCTGACGGACGCCGTGCGCGCCGCCTACGCGCTGCCCCCGCATGTGGTACAGCAGAATGTGTACCACAATGATGTTTATTGCAGGTACTATTATATTGTTGATTAAATAAGTTAAGTATTAGTTTATAGGCGTAGAAATAACTTGGATTTCTTACTGTTATGAGTAATGTTAAAAGTGTAACTATATTTTCTTTCTTTTATTCTCTTCTTTCACAAAGAATTCCTAAAATTAAATTAAACATGCACTGTAATATTATTGACCTCCAATTATCATCAAAGATAGAAGAGGGCGCTGACTCCTGACATACAGGTTTATCCTAGTTTGGGAGTCAGAGGCTTGAACAGGCTTATGTAACAACAAACAATTGTGTTAATAAAGATATATTCTATTCTAATCTATATAATACAAGCGGCTCACCCTCGCTTTGCTCGGATTCACCACTAGGAAAACAAAAACAAACCTATCCCGCGGGAACCGTACATTTTTCCGGGATAAAAAGTAGCCTATGTGTTATTCCAGACTATAATATATCTGTAGACCAAATTTCATCCAGATTTTTTCAGTCGTTCTGGCGTGTAAGAGTTACATACATACTCACAAACTTTCACATTTATAATATTAAAATACGGATGTTAACTTCTTAGTAGTTGTAATTATATTAGTAACTATAATTGCTCAAACGTTTATATAAGTTCCATTACGACTTAATTTCAGCCGCAGCGATAGCGGTGAAACCCTATCTCCAGAAGACGAGACGCGCGGGGGGTTGCTAGGCGCGGTGGCACGTGCGCTCCGCTCGGCGGCCGGCGCGCCACTGATGCAGCACACCCCGCACGCGGCGCACACCCCCCACACGCCGCACACCCCGCACGCCCCGCACGCCGACGACGAGCGTTCGCGCGTGTCCGACGACAACGATAACTCCGCGGACTTGCTGGACTCGGAGACTGAACCGTGTCTTGTGACGGATCCAGGTATGTTTGTGCACTCTTTGAGAACTCAGTTAAAACAAACGTAATTTTATTATGTTTTGCCATTAATTTTTTATTCGCTGTTCGACCAATTTATTATAAAACCTTCTAGTATTAGTAGTAGTATATTCTTAGTTAAATATATAGATTAAACAACAAAACTCGTTAGTATCACGTCAATACAAAATTATGAAATTGTTATTTTTATTAATAGTTTATCAATAATGTGTACTTATATTGTTGTTACAGAATGTGCAGAAGAGTGGTGGTCGGGTGCGGAGGGCGCAGGCGCGTGGAGTGGCGAGGAGTTGTCGCCCGAGAGAGAATCCTGTGGAGATATTGACAAAGGTACTTACATTGCTATTATTTTTACACCGACTATTTACTTCTTAAAGGTTTCTTATAGAACATTCAAAGATTACCGAATGACACAAAATGAAAAAAAATACATCGATTTTTCACTGTATTAAAAAAAATAATCAATAAACAGAACTTTCGCATTATAAGTAATTATATCAATATAATTTATTTACTAAAACATAAAAAAAATAGAAGCCGAGGCGTCAGTGGAAGCGGACATATGCGCGGACGAGGCGCAGTACGCGGACGGCGACAACTCTGCGGAGTGGCCGTCGGAGCGCGAGTCGCTGCGCGCGCTGTCCGCGGCCATCGCGGCGCGCCAGCGCTGGGAGGCGGCGGGCGAGCGCTCGGCGCGCGGCGCGCTGCTGGACCGCGTGCTGGCGCTCGACCTGCGCCTGGCCGAGCTGCTGCGCGCGCTGGCCGCCGCCGCCGCCGCCGCGCCCGCCGCGCCCGCCGCCGGCGACGCGGCCGCTCTGGCGTTGGCGCATGCGCTCAGGTGTGACAACAGTTGTTCTTTATTCGAAATTCATATTTGAATTTCATTTTTATTCGATGGAAAATTTGATATTATAGGTTAATGTTAACTAGTGATATGAGCGGTTCTTTATTCGAAATTTAAATTTGTATTTGATAGAGATTGGAGAATTTGGGTTAATGTTGACTTAGTGATTTCTTGAATTATGAATCATTGAAATAGATATATGAGTGGCATATTTAAAGCATTATTCAATAGATAATTAATAAACAAACACTTAGCATTAAAACAAAATATTTTTAATTTGCAAAGTTTTCATTAATTCATATCAGTCAGTTTTTTTTTAGAAAAGTGTAATTGTTGCAGAGATAAAATTGAAGTAACGGAAAAGAATGTCGCAGACGTTGTGGTAAAAAAGCTGGCTGAACTAGACGCCTGCAAAACGCTCATGGAAGAGTATCAACAGTCTATACAAGTGAGTTCCATATTATGTTAGAAATTTCTATATGGATTTTTTTTAAATATATTATACTAAATACATTTATTGTGTTATAATAATGTAATATTCTTGTGTATTTTCTTATATGTATAATGTTATTTTGAATTATTTGATTTTTATATACTCATTAACAGAAATTAACATATTTTTTCCTCGCAAACATCGAACAAGTTAACCTTTAACTCATTCTATTATTTAACTAACTCAGTTACAAAAGTGATTCAGTAGTAATTCGTAGAGTAGTGTTAGTGCCGTTAACTGGTTGAATGTGAACAGGTATTTACACCATTCAGGGCCCGCTTGGCGATCTCGAGTCAAGAATAAAGCGACAAGGTTAATACACACTTATACGCTTCACGCACTTATGTAATGTCTAGTGTGCTCTCTCTCTCTCACTCTCATTCCTTCTCTGTCTCTCTATTTCTCTATATACTTTACTATTCTTTTTATTCACTGTAACAGGGCTTTTCAATGTGTGCTCTTTCAATATACATTTCCTTGTATACATCTAAATTCAAAATGTATAATATAATATATTCGATTAGAATATATTATATTCGTTTTGTTTTCAAATAATTAAAAAAATTGAGTCCTGTTTTTGGAGTAGCTTAAGTGTAGACACAAAAAAGGTGAAAATGTGTGAAATTTGAGAATCTCTTTAACATTTAATTAAAAATAAATATATATTTTTTTAACATTTATGTAAGTACTCGTATTAGTTTTATTATTTATAGCATATTGCATTTTTTTAATATCTATTATATACTCAATTTATTTTTACATATCTGAATGTTTAAGTAACGTTATGTAAATTAGTGCTTTAAATTAACATTTTTAATAATAATTAATGTTTTTTTAATTTCAATTATTTTATGTATTAAAAATTTAATGATTAATTACTTTGAAAACACACTTTAATATCTAACACTATATAACAAAAGTATATACATATCGAGAGAGAACACACAGACGTCACAACGCTTCACAGACGCGCGTTGACTCGCGACCTCCACTTTGTATATAGTCACGGGCAATGTGAATAATAGGGAATATGCGTGTGATTTAAATAAAGGCGAAATATTTTTTTTTATAATCTTTAAAAAAAATTGTTGAAAAGTGCAAATATATTTGCACTTGAAACGCAACGCCATTGGTCAGACCAAATGTGACGTCATAGTCCATAATAACCGAGCCAGCGTTGCCACTTTAGCGATTTTGTCGCTAAAAATTGCTTAAGCAAAAGTCATTTTTAGCGAAAAATCGCTAAATTGGCTGCACTGGCTCTGTCATTATAGACTATGACGGCGAGCCAAGCGCGAGAAATGACGGGCTTTTAAATTATCCGTATCGGTATGATATTAAAAAAAAACACGCATATTCCTTTTTGGCGATACATGGAATTGTAAATAACACCAAAATTTAGAAATATTATACGTACATTTAATTTAAAAAGAAGCCGAGTCCAAAAGTGAATTTGGTAAATTAATAGATTACTTTTTTTAATAAATTATTCGCTCGAATTATCTTATTTATACATTACAATGAAGCTTCTGGGCTTTTTACTGGTATGACGATTTTTTATGATATGCTTATATGTATATTATGTGAGAGTATAATTTTTTTAATAATTCTTTTAATATATTATGATGTATTGTAGCGCTATTTTGGCTTAAAAAACAAACCAAAGCCATGTAATGAATGCTTTATTTGTCAACCATTAATTAATTATTTATTAGAATTTTTTATAGAATTTACTTTTGGACACGGAATACACGTATATTATAGTACTATACATATATAGCTTTGGCTCAACCTTATTTAAAGCTTAAGCTTTCAAACTAGTCGCATAATAAAATATTAATATATTTTTTTATATCCTTTTAGGTATTAAAAAGTCAGATAGCTCAAAACAATGAAGAGGACGACATCGAGTTGATTGAGCAGGTGAAAATTTAATTTCAGCATTTATATAATTAATACTTGATTAATTAATTAGCTTTCATAACTTTCATAAATAAAACACCATTCAGGTAGTCGTGTTATAATGATGTCGAAATGTAAAGAATTATCTCAGTTTTAGTACATACTTTACAAATTGATATTTTTTCAATGAATTGTTATGAAGTAGTACCAGTAGGCGATCACCCATTGGTTATAACTTAAATGCTATCAAACGCAAAGGTTATCCAAGAAATGGTTTCAAAGTTAAAACGCTGTAGCGCCATCTCATGGCATGTTACACTTATACTATATTATATTATATTATATTGTCATAAAACGTTATAGTCCATTCGCGTTAAGAAAATAGGAGTAAAATTTCATTTCAAATTCAAAATTAATTATCTTACATCGAAATAAATTCATCGTATAATGATAATGACATTATTTTGATTTGGGATAATTAAGTTTATTAATTAATTATCTCAAATGAAAATATAGTCATTAATAATATATTTAAGTCGGCCTTCAACTGGTCATTGTAAACTTGACTTTTATAATGTTAAGTAACCTAATTCGTGGGGGGCGTGGCTAGGCCGGTGGACACCGATGACTCACTATTTTCTTAACGCGTATGAACTATTCTGTATGGTGACAATACCTACACTATATTGAAAACATTTTTTTAACGTTGGGAAATATAATGAAACCATGTAAATGTTCCAGGAGCTCCAGTCATGCGACGACACGACGCGCACGCGGCGCACGGAGGCGCTGCGCGCGGCGCTGGCCGCGGTGGCGGACTGCCCGCGACTGGCGCGCCGCCTGCAGCGCCTCGCCGCCGCGCTGGCCGCGCCCCCCTCCCCCGCCCCCGCGCCCCCCGCCCCCGCGCCCGCCCCCGCCGCCGCCCCCGCGCCCGCGCCCCCCGCCGCCTGCACGTAGCGCGGCTGAGTACGACCGGCAAATATCTTGAGATTGATCATGTATAACTAAGCAGTTGATACTAATGATTCCAAGACATAAACATAAATTCTCTAAAACATTATATTTTAACCCTGAAAATTCTATGAATTTTTAATTAATATTGCTAATAAAAAAGCCAATATAATAATTAAAAGTATGTCAATATGTTGATGGTGTCAACTAGACTTTTCAATGATTTAAGTTGAGTCAATCAGTTTTAAGTGTTTGAATGTCAGATATGTCAGAATGTGAGAAAGTCATGCCTATCGTACGTGCGACAGTGGTAACACTAACTTCAATTTGGTCATTTTAAATGCCATATTGTAATAACAAGCTATTATATCTGACGTGTATGACTTGAACGTTAAACATTTGTGAAGTCAGTACTGTTAGCAAAATAGTCGCTCGTTATACTAATAATTTTTAACCAAACACCGCCTTTTTAGGCCGATAGTGTGAGAAAATTTGGCAAATACAGTTATTTGATAGGTGGATATTAGATCCTGTGACTTAAGATATTTGCCGCTCTTTGTACTATACAGATAATAAATACCAAATCGATACATAGATAGTATAGATAGATTCTAAATTTGTTTTTTTTTTTCTTGTAGTTACATCAAAATTTAGCAGTATTTTAATATTAGATATTACGTGAACATTAAAACTACTATGATGTATCAGTCTAATGAACATCTTGGATGAATATTCACATTCATATTTTATTTATACTTTTCAATATAAAATATATAAGTACAGCAAGGTACTTACAGATGTTAAGTAAAAAATTAATTTTATTTACTAAAGATCTAGCGTCATAAGTCACTCAGGTTATAATACATTTTATGCATGACTTAAAATTAACTATAATTATCAAAAAAAAGCGCCAAAATGCATTTCTAAAAAGTATAAACGTCTCGACTACTATTTAGTAGTAATATATTTTTTATCTTCACAATTTTACTTTATGGGGGTAGCGTAAAATTTTTTTTTTCCTCATATCTGACAGCAATTGCTCATATCGCATGTATGAGATGTGATCGAAATAGATTTTAACACAACACGAGCCTAGTTTACATAACATTTTTTCTAAAGCAAACTTAAAAAAATATATCTTGTAACTAAAGATTGAATAGAAAAAATTACCCCCTGGTCTAGATTTCTATTGGAGTTTTGATTTATCGTCGTTATATCTATCATACAGATTGATCATGGCCTGCCATTCTTATTTTTTATACAATATTATTCATAAGCTTTTTTCTATGAACCACGTAACTATATATAAGCTTTCCGAATGGATAATTTCTTAAAATCTATCCCACCTACTATATAATAATCCTCAATTTCCGCCAAACACTGTTCTAATACGATGTAAATATTTATTATCTCAATTACATCGCGTATGTTCTACAAAAAAACCCACAGAATACACAAAAATTACAGACGGCGAACTTTAAATACTACTCACGTCGTACATTAGAAGAGTTAAGACCTATACAATAGAAAGAGAGGCCCTGTTTTTGAATATATTAGATATGCGACAGTGTGAGCTGAATTAAACTTTATTGCGTCGGATTTAAGGTCGCAATTTATTTAAATTTATTTCGCACTTAGCCTTCTGCACCAAACAAATATTCTGCGTATTACACTTATTATACAATAAAAATCGTAATGTAAACAATATTTGTCTCTTGTGAACTCTAATTACGTATTGTAGATTGAAATCTATAGATAAAAATATTGTAGCGTTGAAAGTTTGCGTATGCCCTTGAGGTGTCACGCTTTAGTAAAAAAAACATAATATAAACAAATCGATCAACTATTTTATAATATTATTTTTATATCATTTCATTTTTATTGACAAGTGACAAGTGATAGTATTTAACATCCAATATGGAGGATTCTGTTATCATTTGTCTTTTTATTCTAGGAATATTACGGTTAAAAAATTAAAATAAAATGACAATTTTGTAGCTTATAATAATAATTATTACATATAAATACGTTTTCGCATCAAACCTAATAACTATACTAACATTATATTGAATAAGTAAACTGAACCATATTATTTACAGGTTGTTTACATATTACAGAGGTGGTTATAAATTTACGTAAAAATAAACAACCTGTATAGTAATAATAATAAAGAACTAATACTAAAAAATTAAATATAAAATATATCCCTATATCCATTAAAACAAAGTGCCAATAGCATCACAATGACGAATGAATTGCCAAATTTGACAAACGTAAAGATTTTTTTGACGCTTCCTAAAGCTTATTTCACAGCTTAGTAGGCAAAATTTAAAATATAGATAAATAATATAGTTCGAAAGTAGTTTTATTACTTATTAAGAATTGCATCGGTCCATTAATTAATTATTATATAAAAATCGAGGACCTTACTCATATTTAAAACCAAATATTTTGCTAAAATTGTTTATTTTAGAACAAAGCAATCCATGCCATTACACTCGTCCGTCCCGCGCACTGCTTGCCGTTGGAAGACAAATAATTTTAATTAGACAAATGTTCGAATTCATGTACGTAAATTAAATATTGGAACCAAATAGATAATTGATGTTGAATCGTGGTTACTCGTTTAGAATATTACCGAGGACAGTAATAGGCGTGTTTGAAGTAAAATAAACACTTAATTTCTGTATCTCTGCCAATTAAATTATAAGAATTATCATGCAATAACAATAATTTTGGAAAAATAAAATGGCTAGTAAACTCTAATAAAATTTTTTGTATGGTCTATATTAAAATATTAAATATTTAAAATTTACCGATTTCTCTGTTTTCATTCAGCGGAGAATTCTCCGCGTATTACTTTCCTTAGTGATATTGGATTAGAATTGAATGTTTGAAGTAGACACACGTTACATGTTGGTTGAAGAGATTGAGTGTAGTTGTAGATATGACGTAATGGCGTTATGTTTGGACTATTCGATCACAATTATATATATATATATATATATATATATATATATATATATATATATATATATATATAAAACCTATTAATTGCCACATGGTTTTTATTTATCATTCCGAATCAGCATTTATTTTTTAACATGGCTACTTATTATCTTATAATGATTAATTTAATGCTATGTCGACAATAATCAGTCTTCTCTTTTTTTACTTTGTAATGTCCATTCATGATTCGTCGATGATTCGCTCTCGACGTATGTGAAACTGGCTTTACATTTTTGATTTAATTGTATTTTTAAAAGTACTGTATTTTTTGTAAACTTATGTTTTGTATCGTTGTTTCGGATAAGTGTAAGAAATATGTGTTGTAAGAGAAAAGTATTAATAATAAGATTAAATAATTTATGAAATAACATTATTATTTCTGTTGAAATAAATCACAATTTTTAGTTTGTGTGTGCCATTAATGCGTAAGATGTTCACCATGTTAATGATATTGCGATATATAGATATATAGTAAGGTAATATCAGAAATGGAAGTTGTAAATAAATCGATTTAACCGTGTTTGTTGTTAGTCTAGTCAATAAATATTGTCAAATTATAAAGAATTTAATAAAAATCTAAGAAATTCGAGCATGTAAATAAATAATGCTAATAATTATTTCCATATCGAGACTTGTGCGTTGCCGTTTTTTAATTTATGTTAAATTACTGTAACTGCCTCACTATCGCGGTCATTTTGTTGTACTTTGTGTCAAATACGATTGCTTTCTTTATATACGTTTAGTATATAATATTAGATTTAAATTTGCAGTTATTGAGACGAATGAGACTGAAGCTGTATTTATGTTGGATTTAAAAGGAATTTGAATGATCGAATCCTTCGATGAGACAATGTGTTGTAAGTTTTTGTATATATATTTTTTTTATAAAGTATCCCTATAATATGGAATTTATTAAAATTTCAAAGTACAACTCAACGCTTTTGCCATTCATATCGCTTGCTTTAGGAGTTGGCACATTCGTTGTACGAATATACGTAAGCAAATTATTTAAGTAATAAGTTATATAACATTACGAAAATGGTCACATTGTGATGTATATATAATATGTAAATAAAATTATAATAAATAATGCTTTATCGTTTTATTTATAAATAATAAGGCTTCTAATTGGCAGTTGGACGGCACTAGTAGCCCAGTGGAAACGCTGTTGTTTGGGAGTCCTAGTGAAGTGGGTTCAAAACCCGGGTCTCGCACCTTTGATATTTTCATGTGCGAATCATTTCCAACATGATTACATTTCCTACTTGTCTTTCGATGAAGAAAAACATCGTGAAGAAACCTGCATGTGTGAGAGAACCTAGCAAGTTTTCGAAGTACGCTTAGTTCGCTAACCCGCACTTAGCCAGCGCGGTGGACTACGGCCTGATCCTCGTATTGAAGGGAGGCCCGCGCCCAGCAGTGGTACTTTAAAAAGGGCTGCTACGATACGAAGACAAAAATGATGACCAGACTTCCTCCTCGGGCTTGAATTTTCATCAAACTCTCTAAAATTTATTAAATGATCTTAATTTAACATGTGCGTGAATAGTAAAACAAAAAAAATGAGTGTTTGAAACATTTATTCCATATTCTATTTAAATCAATATTACTACACAGTTTGAGTTAATCACGTCGCCTCAGCCTTCATTCATTGCGACCTGGTTATTAATAAATAATATTTGAATTAAAAAAAAAACTAATCAAAACATTTTAAATTCTCTACTAATCGTATTCTTAATTAAAATGACAGAAGTAAAAATGTTTTTTTTTAGACAATGTGTTATTACATTTACTTACAATAAAATAAAGGCTGAGGTTAAAAAAAAAACAGCAAATTTTTCATTTCCATGTTGATATTGCGTGTAACAAAATTATACTATTAAATTAAATTCGAATCTAACACTGCCACGAGACAAACTTTACTATCCCAACAACGTGCGTTGGCTGAAAGTGTTGGGGGCTCGTAAAACTTATTATTTAAACAATTGAGATTT